ATGTCTATACACATAATCACATTCATATTCACAACCATCCCCAAAAAATCCCTCATAACTGCGCCAACTTGCCCCGTGAGGCCAAAACCCACATCCCTCCAGCAGATCGGATATGAAATGAGGAGTACATTGAGGAGCTCTTATACCCTCACGCCCGCCCACGCCCGCGCCACAGGGACTCGTCAGAGGGTGAGAGAGAGCACGGGCGTGGGGCGTGGCAGAGGAAGGAGGCGTCGAGGAGGAACACAGAGGAATGGGCGTATTATATTGGGTTTTTCTGTTCATACTAATGTTTTTATTTGATTTGTTGTCCTGGCTTTTGTATTTGTTCTTGTCGTATCGTCGGTGTTATTGTTATTATCATCATCATTTTTATTATTATTATTATTATTATTATTATTATTATTATTATTATTATTATATTATTATTATTAATTTTTATTATTATTATTATTATTATTATTGTTATTATTATTATCATTATCATTATTATCATTATATTTTATCATTATTTATCAATTAATTATTATCATTACTATTATTATATTATAATTATCATTATTATATTAATCATCATTATGACTATCATTATCATTTATTATTATGATCATGGGATGATGATGATCTTAATGATGATGGTCATGATTCTGATTAACACAATAATGGCGTTCTTCTTCTTCAGCATCATCTTATCATTATCATTATCACTATCATTGTTATAATCATAATGATGGTGATGGTCATGATTAGTATTATCATATTGTCATTATTATCATCATTTATATTGTTGCTGTTTTTATTATTATTAATGTCATTATTATCATTATTATTATAATTGTCATTGATATTACTATTAATATTTTCAGTATAGTTAGTCAAAATTCTACTTAACGTTTACGGAAAAGCTGTAGAGAGATAACATATGGAACAAACTCCTTTTCCTGTACAATCTGAGCTTTTATTCCTTCCACACAAAGAGATCTAATAACAACCCCCCCCTGTATCCCCGCCCACACCCCACCCACACTCCCACACAAAAAGACTCTTAATCCACCCTCACCACCCCCGCCCACCCCGCCCACACTCCACCAGAAAAAGACTCTTAATAACACCTCCACCCTCACCACCCGCCCACCCGCCCCACACTCCACACAAAAAGACTCTTAATAACACCTCCACCCTCACCACCCCCGCCCACACCCCACCCACACTCCACACAAAAAGACTCTTAATAACACCTCCACCCTCACACCCTCCACCAATAACACCCACGCCCACCCCCCACACTCCACACAAAAAGACTCTTAATAACACCTCCACCCCTCACCACCCCGCCCACACCCACCCACACTCCCCACAAAAGACCCTTAATAACACCTCCACCCTCACCACCCCGCCCACACCCCACCCACACTCCCACAAAAAGACTCTTAATAACACCTCCACCCTCACCACCCCCGCCCCACACCCCGCCCACACTCCACAAAAAGACTCTTAATAACACCTCCACCCTCACCACCCCCGCCCACCCACCCACACTCCCACACAAAAAAGACTCTTAATAACACCTCCACCCTCACCACCCCGCCCACCCCCACCACACTCCACACAAAAAGACTCTTAATAACACTCCACCCTCACCACCCCCGCCACACCCCACCCACACTCCACACAAAAAGACTCTTAATAACACCTCCACCCTCACCACCCCCGCCCACACCCCGCCCACACTCCCACACCGAACTCGGAACTCTGTAGAAGCACCACACAAAACTCGCCCATTCTTCTCTTCAGAGTTTATTAAAAAGCGATTCTTCAGCTCTCACACACTCCTTCCCTTTCACGGTTGGCTTCCCCGTCGGATCGCCTCACGCCCTCGCTTTGTGGGGCGGCGTGAATGGGCGTGCTGTGTGGTGCGAGGTGAATGGGCGTGCTGTTTATTGGATTTAGTTTCGTGGTGTTTGGGAGACTCTTACAATACGTGGAGGTCAAGAGGAGGTGTGGATAGCCCTGGGGACCTTTGACCTGGTAGATAGGCGTGACCTACCTCCATGGCTGTACACATACACGTAGGGTGTAGATATGGCTTTATTTATATCTTTCTATGTGGAGGTGTCTATTTATATATCTATTTTTTCTGTCTATCTGTCCGTTTATTTGTCTATCTATCTTTCTACTTATCTACCTATCTATCTATATATCTGCCTAACTATCTATCTAATCCATCTGTTTATCTATCTATCTGCCAATCTACGTATCTTTCTATGTATTTTCCCGTCTATCTGTATACCTACCTATCTATCTATCTATCGACTCACCTCTCTATCTATCAACCCATCTATCTATCCACCTCCACCAACCTCAATAATGGTGATCAACTACAAGAAGAACAGGAAAATTCGCTGTAAAGATTAAATCTCTGGTAAATTGTTCGAATCTCAACGAACTGTGCAGTAATTAACTCTTTAACGCTCCATCGACACGACAGTACATATCCAGA